TTTATAGTAGCTCTTCTTGTCTTTTAAACATTTTATTCCTTTTTTTTATTGGAGAGTACACTGCATTTTCAGTTTGGCCAAATGCTTCCTTTAGGTGTTAGTTAGCTTGTTCTTCTATCCCTCTTATTTCCTTTAAATAGTAATTAAATCCAGAAGTTTATTTAGATACAAATTCAATTCTTTGGCAGTTGTACTTAAAAGGTTGTGGTGGAAGTTGCTATATCTTGAAGTTTCTGTGGGCAGAAATTTGGGAGCATCTTGGCTTGGCAGTTTTGGTTTGGGGTCTCTCATAAGATTGCAATGAGATGTTAGCTAGGGTTGTAGTCATTAGAAGGCTTGACTGGGGTTGGAGAATCCACTTCCAAGGTGGCTCCCTCACATGGCTAGCAAGTTGTTCTCTTGGTGGGAGGTCTCACTTATTCTTTACATGGGTCTTCCACAAAGTTGCTTAAATATCCTGACAGCCTTGGCGGCTGGCTTCTCCCAGGTTGAATGATCTAAAAAAGTAAGGTAGATGCTGCATTGTCTTTTTGACCTAGCCTTGGAAGTCACATTATTCACTCTCCAATATTCTGTTGGTCACACGGACCATCCTTGAATCACTGTGGCATGGCATGGATGCCAGATAGTGAGGATCATTCAGGACCCTTTTGGAGGCTGGCTACTGTCAATGATTTCAATTTCAATTTCAGAGTACATGATTTATACATCTTTGACCTTATCTTTCTTGTAAACTAAAAGCCTTGGTTCCTAAAATATTAACATAGCTTGTTTTGTTCTACCATATACTTGTAATAATTTCAAAGTAACAGTGCTAATTTTAATTGCCAACAAGACTACTGAATGCAGTTTAAGATTTCTAAGTGATTCCTTTTGTCCTTAAAAAATATACCCCCCAGCTGTATATAGTCGGTATACTGTTTTGTAGACAGTTTATGTAACCAATTTGATAAACATAAATCCACCTAAATGTGGATATGTTTCTAGTTTTTTAGGGATTGCTTTTTTTTCCCCTTTTTGATTTAATGATGTATTTTAATTATATAAAACGTGTACTTGGTTTCAAACTCTAAACTATAAAACAGGTACATTCAGAATAGTGTCACTTCCATTCCTTTTTTCTTGTTCTCTCTCTTACCCATGGGTAACTATTTTAAATGTTTGTTTCATCCTCCAACATTTCTTTTGTACATATTCACCTTCCCCTTTTTTTTAATAAAAAAAAGGTAGCAATGTTTTAAGTGCTCTACTCTACCTTTTTCTTTTCATTTAACCATACACGCTGAAGTTTACTCCATGTAAGTAGACAAAAATCATTCTCTCATTTTATTGCTTAGAGGCACTGCACTGTGTGGATATACTATAGTTTATTCAGCTACTTTCCTAGTGATAGATGTTTTCATTGTGTAAATAATGCTGCATTGGATAGCCCTTTGCATACTTCATTTTGTATTTTGGCCAGTGAATTTTTGGTACAAGTTCCTAGAATTGGGATTGTTAAGTCGAAGGGAAATGCTGAATGTGATTTAGCTAGATATTGCCAAATTTCTCTCCAGAGGGCTTGTATTTGTGTGTTTCCACTACCAATGTATGAAAGTGCTTCTTACAGCTTTGTCAATAGTCTCTGGAGTTCTACTTTTGGATTTTTGTCAATTTAGTATTTTGGTCAAGTTTTAGTTTGGGAAATTAATTAATTAATTAATTAATTTTGAGGCAGAGTTTCATTCTTGTGTCCAGGCTGGAGTGCAATGGCATGATCTCGGCTTACCGCAGCCTCTGCCTCCCGGGTTGAAGCAGTTCTCCTGCCTCAGCCTCCCGAGTAGCTGGAATTACAGTCATGCACCACCCCATCTGGCTAATTTTGTATTTTTAGCAGAAACAGGATTTCTTCATGTTGGTTAGTCTGGTCTCGATCTCCTGACCTCAGGTGATCCACCCGGCTTAGCCTCCCAAAGTGCTGGGATTGTAGGCGTGAGCCACCGCGCCTGGCCATAAATTTTTATTACGAGCAAAGTTAAGCTACTTTGCATTCACTTAGGGGCACTTTGCTCTTTTTTCAGATGAGCTAATTGTCTCTTTTTCTCACGTTTTGTAAGGTCGTTGACCTTTTTTCCCCCTAATTTAGAGAGTTTTTATTTTATATACATACATATATATACATATATATATATATATATATATATGAAGAGTGAGAGAGACAGAGAGACATAGAGTCTTGCTTTGTTGCCCAGGCTGGAGTGCGGGAGCACAGTGGCACAATTGCTACTCACTGCAACCTCTGCCTCCCGGGTTCAAGCAATTTGCCTGCCTCAGCCTCCCAAGTAGCTAGGATTACAGGCGCCCACAACCATGCCTGGCTAATTTTTTTTTTTTTTTTTTTTTGCAACAGAGTCTCTTGTCACCCAGGCAGGAGTGCAGTGGCAGGATCTCAGCTCACTACAAACTCCACTTTCTGTGTTCAAGTGATTCTCATGCCTCAGCCTCCTGAATAGCTGGGATTATAGGCATAAGCCACCATGCCTGGCTAATTTTTGTATTTTTAGTAGAGACAGAGTTTAACCATGTTGGCCAGGCTGGTCTCGAACTCCTGACCTCAAGTGATCCACTTGCCTCAGCCTTCCAAACTACTGGGATTACAGGCGTGAGCCACCGTGCCTGGACTGTAGTTGATACTGATAATCACTCTGCAGTATAAGTTGCAGCTAATTTTTTTCCAGGTTGCTATATTCTGTTAATTTTGCTTGTAGTATTTTTAGCCATGCATAGGATTTTTATTTTTACATAGTCATATTTATTACTTCTTGGTATGAATTATTTCTTGATTCCTAGTTGGAACTTTTTTTTCTATTCTTAGATTATTAAGGAATTCTGTGTTTTTTTAAAAGTACTTTTATGGTTCTTTAAAAAAAAATTTAGATAACTGATTTGTTTGCTTTTTTTTTTGAGACTGAGTTTCACTCATGTTGTCCAGACTGGAGTGCAATGGCATGATCTCAGCTCACTGCAACCTCTATCTCCCAGGTTCAAGTGATTTTCCTGCCTGTGCCTCCCCAGTAGCTGGGGTTACAGGCACCCACCAGCACATCTGGCTAATTTTTGTAATTTTGTAGATTAATTTGCTTTTATGCTGGTGTATAGTGTGAGAGACAGACAAGTTTTATCTTTTTTGGCTATTCAGTTATCCCAATACCACCAATTAAAAAGTCCATCTTTTCCCCACTGAATTGATATACCGTCTTTATCATATAGTAAAGGTCCATATGTATGTGAATGTATTTCTGAATTTTCTGTTTTATTTCGTGTTTATTTACCAGCATCACACTTTTTAATGATGGAAATGTATACTGGTTTAATGTCTGGTAGAGTGTGTACACATACCCCCTTTCTCTTTCAGGTGTTACTTTGCTATTCTTAGTTATTTTTCTATGTGGATATACGTTACAGAAAAGCAACCAATAAGTATCTTGAAAACTTTGGCTGTGTCTAATTTATAAGCTAACATAGGGATAATTAACATCTTTATCATGTTTAGCCTTGCTATCCATTTGCTCATGTGTACTTTTCTGTCTTGTAAGAGTATTTATAGTTTAAAGGATTTCTCACATTTCTTATGTGAGCTGGGACTACAGATACACACCACTACACCAGGCTAATTTTTGTAGTTTTTGTAGAGAGATAGGATTTCGACATGTTGCCCGGGCTGGTCTCATGTTTCTGACCTCAGATGATCCACCTGCCTCAGCCTCCCAAAGTGCTGGGATTATAGGCATGAGCCACAGTGCCCGGCCATCTTTTGCTTTTTGAATATTGATTTTTCTTTTTTTGAGACAGAGTCTCACTCTGTTGCCCAGGCTGGAGTGCCGTGGTGCGATCTCGGCTCACAGCAAGCTCTGCCTCCCTGGTTCACACCATTCTCCTGCCTCAGCCTCCCAAGTAGCTGGGACTACAGGCGCCCACCACCATGCCTGGCTAATTTTTTGTATTTTTAGTAGAGACTGAGTTTCACTGTGTCAACCAGAAGGGTCTCTATCTCCTGACCTCGTGATCCGCCCACCTCACCCTCCCAGAGCCCTGGGATTACAGGCGTGAGCCACTGGGATTTTTTTTTTAATCTCATACATAATACCTAGCCTTTCCTATTAAATGTTACATTGGTTGTTAGTTTCAGAGAAGTACCATAATAACCTTTTAAGAAAGACTCCTGTTGCAAGTTTACCAAGAGTTCTTTGCTCTGTTTTAAAAATTAGGAACTTATCTGAACCAAGTTCAGATGCCTTTTTTTTTGTCTTGGTGTTAGTTTTTCTGCTTTTCACAAATGTAATGAATTCTATTTCTCATTCAGTTTGTGTGTAAGTTTCATTTAGGATTTCTGAATCTCTCATAAGTACGTTTGTATAGTTTGTGTGTGTGTGCTATGTGCTGTTTTAGGTTTTTGTAGAAGGACTAAGCTGTTTTTAATAAAATAAAGTTCTAAATTCAAATTATATTGTTTTTCCTCAAATTCTTGCCTTTAGGTACTCTGGAGCTGTATAAACAGAATTAAATTACATGTTTATTGAAGCATTTAGAAGTCACCTAACATCTTTCTTGGCCTGCACTCTTTTTTGTTGTTGTTATTTTAAAGCAGTTCTTTTACCAGCTTTTAATTTTTTGATAAACTATATTGATTTTATTCAGCTTCTAAGAGACAATTTGATGTCTAAAACATTAATCGCACCTAGAAACTATACAATATGGAGAACAGCAGGGTGATTTTTTTTTTTTTTTAATCGTAACTGTTTTTTGGAGGGGAGAAGAAAATAGATTAGATGTTTTCATTGGGATTTATTTATTGATATTATTAAGTCCAGAGAGAAAGGTGAATGTTATTAAAGTAACAAAGTAACACTTCTTTTCAAGGATTAATTCTTCTTCCACCAGCCTTTTATTGTTAAAAATTGTGAATTTATAGAAAAGTTGTAGGAATAAGTTTTTAATGTATTAATTATTCTCATTCTTAGGTGCATTTTATCTGGTGTTTGAATATATGGACCATGATCTGATGGGACTGCTGGAATCAGGCTTGGTTCATTTTAATGAAAATCACATAAAGTCATTTATGAGACAGCTCATGGAGGGTCTGGATTATTGTCATAAGAAGAACTTTTTGCATAGAGATATTAAATGTTCCAATATCCTTCTAAATAATAGGTATGGTTATGAACTTTATATATATTTAAAATGAGTTTTACCATGGACATGTACATGGAGAGAATAGCCTGGAAACTGTAGCGGCGGGGAATGTCGGGGATAGTGAGGGTTGAAAGTTACCTATTGGGTACAGTGTCCAACATTTGGGTGATGGGCACCCTAGAAGCCTAACCCCTACTATTACATTTCTGATACCCGTGTCACAAACAAGCACATGTACCCCCGAATCTAAAATTTTTAAAATAAAGAAAAGATACAGTGTTACATGACGTTGCACCTTGATTATGTTAAAAAATATTTAAAATTTAGTTTACTTTATACAAACTATTTAAAAATAATCAGCAGCCACAGTAGCTCACGCCTGTAATCCCAGCACCTTGAGAAGTAGAGACAGGCGGATCACTTGAGGCCAGAAGTTCAAGACCAGCCTGGCCAATGTTGATGAAACCCTGTCTCTGCCAAGAAAATACAAGAGTTAGCCTGGCGTGGTGGAGCACACCTGTGATCCCAGCTACTCAGGAGGCTGAGGCATGAGAATTGCTTGAATCCAGGAGGTGGAGGTTGCAGTGAGCTGAGATCATGCCACTGTACTTCAGCCTAGGTGACACAGCGAGACTCTGGCTCAAAAATAAAAATAAAAATAATCACCAATATTATAGCTTGGGATACCTCAAAAGTTGTGTTAAATATCTGTTAGTGGCTGGGCGGGATATTTCACGCCTGTAATCGCAACACTTTGGGAGGATGAGGCAGGCCAATCACTTGAGGCCGGGAGTTCGAGACCAGCTGTGCCAACATTGTGAAAAGCTGTCTCTACTAAAAATACAAAAATAAACCCGGTGTGGTGGCACACGCCTGTAATCCCAGCTGCTAGGAAGCCTGAGAAACGAGAATCGCTTGAATCCCAGAAGTGGAGTTACAGTGAGCTGAGATAGTACCACTGCACTCCAGCCTGGGTGACAAAGCAAGACTCGGTCTCAAAAAAAAAAATCCAATAATAGTCTGTAATGCATATAAAATAATACTTAGTTTACTTTTCTGTTTGCTATTTTTCCAGGTAATGTGAATGGATCATCTAATACCAATATAATTTCAGCTTTAGGCTAAGAATAGATTTTAGAAAATTTTAAAAAAACAGTCACAGTTGTAAAGTGAACTTTTTGGAAGTGTGTACACACACATACACATTCACATGTTTAAAACTTATGTAAATAAGCTTATATTCGTAACAGCTTATATTTGAACCCTGGTAATTCTCTTGTAATTGGTACTGTTTGTTAATTTAAATAAGGCATGCCTGGTTCTGATTTTAATTAATAGACAGTGTTCTATGCACCTAGCCCCTCTAAAACTGGAGAATTAAACAAATTAAAAGTGATGTCACTTAGTTCTTGTGCACTGTTACCTTGAACAAGAAATTTGTCTTACTGCTAAGTAATAAAAATGATCTCGTTTTATTTTGTTTCCATTGAAGTGTGCTTTTCTAAATAGGAACTGATTAGTAATAAAATACTATTCTAATATTATAATACAGTAATTATAATAATTATATTGCTGTAAGTTTGACTATCCAAGGATTTGTTTATTTTTTTGTTTTGTGAATTTATCCACTAGTTGCTTTTACCTGTATTACCTTGATGATATTGAAGTGTGAGCAGAGTTAACGTTTACATAGGTATTTTTTCTTATCAGTTCTAGGCATAGAATATAAATGTGTATTGTCAATTTAGAGTAAATTAATACTTTTTGTTCATCTTGTCTTTTTTCTACCAGAGGGCAGATAAAACTTGCAGATTTTGGACTTGCTCGATTGTATAGCTCAGAAGAAAGGTAAGCATACCTTCAAATGAATATTGTAGATATTAGAGTTTAGTATTTGAAGCTATACTAAGAATACCTTATTGATAGTTTTATTTTTTAAAAGAGAAATTTACTTTTCATGGTTAGTACATAAAAAACTGAAATTTTATACCATATTGGGTTGATTACTGTAATTACAATATTTCACACATTATCTCAATTTAAAAATTGATCTTTAACACAGGTAAAAATGATTTTTAAAAAATGTACATCTTTAATTGTGACTGAAGTGAACTTATACTTAAATTTCTAATGTGTATTCAGATATTAAATATTCTTAATGAAAACCTTTTAAATTGTGTTTTTAAACTTATAAACTTTGTTTTCATTATTATTTTACACAGGTTTTATTGTTATATTTACAGTTCTTTGTTTTTTTAACTCCCTAGAACCCTTTATTTAAACCAACTGTTGTGAGGATGTTCAGTGTATAAGACACAAAAAGGTAGAAATTTTCTGGCTAAAGTTTGAGTATATACCCAACTTGGCTTTCTTTGTGCCTGGTGGTAGTGAAATGACTTGTCTTATTAGAACTAATATGGGATTTCAAAATAAAATATTTTTGTACAATAGTAGGTTTTATATAAATAAAATATAGAATTAATTTTGCTTAATAAATCTTTAGTCCATTTGCTCCATTCCTTTCTTGTCTTTATTTTTATATATATCTCTCTCTGAAATAATATATTTAAAGAATTTTAAAATTATTTTATGGCAATTCTGTCATTTCTTTAGTATCACCATAATTTAATATAGTGAAACATCAGTTGATTGTAGTCTTAGGAATAGATGTTTACTTTCATTTAATCTTTGCTTTTTTCTGGTTAAAGGAATAAACAAAAACTCTCGTTTGAATTTTTCAGAGTAAAAAGTCTATGTTTTTAAATCTTGCAGTGCCTGTGACATAATTCTGGAAAATATTTTCATTATATAGTGCTCTAGAGTAGAGGTTTATAAGTGATATGTTTTGGATCCATTCAAGTTCCATGAAACCCCTCAGAAAGTGTGCTGTGGGCCGGGCGCAGTGGCTCATGCTTTTACAAATCCCAACACTTTGGGAGGCAGAGGCGGGTGGATCACTTGAGGGTCAGCACTTGGAGACCAACGCGGCCAACATGGGTGAAACCTCATCTCTACTAAAAATAGCTGAGCTTGGTGGTGCACGCCTGTAATCCTAGCTACTTGGAAGGCTGAGGCACAAGAATCACTTAAACCTGGGAGATGGAGGTTGCAATGAGCCGAGATTGCACCACTGTACTCCAGCAAGACTGTCTCCAAAAAAAGAAAGGAAGGAAGGAGGGAGGGAGGGACGAAGGAAGGAAAGAGAGACAGAGAGAGAGAGAGAGAAAGAGAAAGAAAGGAAAGAAAGTGTTCTGTGGATGAGGTTTTGTGATTGGACCTCCAGTCCTCTGTACTGACTTTCACCAGAGTTACTTGGTTTTTAGTTGTTTTGACTGCTACACTTAAAATTAACATTTTATTTTAGGAAAGGGTTGTATGAGTGTTTTTTTTTTTAAGTTTAAAACTGTTTTAAAGCTCAAAAGCTATACCCCTCATTTTGCATTTGAGAGAATTGAGACCCAGAAAGGGCTGAGTTACTTTGTTTTTAATTTTGAAATATGTATACATTGTGAAATGGCTACATTGAGCTAATTAATATGTATTACCCCACATATTTTGTGTGTGCCAACTCTTAAAATTTAAATCTACTCTCAACAGTTTTCAAGAATACATTGTTATTAAGTGTATTTACCAAGTTGTACAATAAATCTCTTGAATTTACTTTTGTCTAACTGAACTTTTATATCCTTAGGCTAGCATCTTCCCCCCATACTCCCTATGCCCAGCATCTGGTAACTCCCAGCTCTCCTCTCTACCTCTATGAGCTGAGGGTTTTTGGATTTCACATATAAGTGAAATGATGAGTTATTTGTCTTTATGTGCCTGCCTTATTCCACTTAACACATTGCGCTTCACTTTCATCCATGTTGTCATAAATGACAGCATTTCCTTGTTTTTTTAAGACTTGAATAGTATTTCATTGTGCATATAGGCCACATTTTCCTTTTTTTGTTTTGTTTTGTTTTGTTTTTTTGAGACAGAATCTCTGTCGCCCAGGCTGGAGTGCTGTGGCGCAGTCTCGGCTCCAGGATTCAAGTGATTCTCCTGTCTCAGCCTCCCGATCGCTGGGATTACAGGCCGCATTTTCTTTATCCGTTCATCTTTTAGTGGACACTTAACGTTGATTCCCTATCCTGGCTATTGTGAAGGGTTGAGTGACTTTAAAGATCAAAAAATGTTGGCAGAGCCAAGGGTGTATAGCTAAGTTTTCAATTCCCAATTTTTTATTCTTTCTATCATATATAATAGTGCCTCTTGGTAGAAGTTGAAAGAAAAAATTGATCTGAATGTGTACTTAATCCAAAGCTTCACTTGAAGTATATATTTTTTTTTTCTGCTGTTTAAGAAGCATATGTATTTATTTTATTTGAGACAGAGTCTTGCTCTGTCGCCCAGATTGGAGTGCAGTGGCGTGATCTCAGCTCACTGCAACCTCCGCCTCCCGGGTTCAAGCGATTCTCTGGCTTCAGCCTTCCGAGTAGCTGGGACTACAGACGCGCACCACCATGCCTAGCTAATTTTTATATTTTTTAGTAGAGACAGGATTTCTCCATGTTGGCCAGGCTGGTCTCGAACTAGTGACCACAAGTGATCTGCCTGCCTTGGCCTCCCAAAGTGCTGGGATTACAGGCATGAGCCACCATGCCCAGCTGAGAAGCGCATATATAACTAAATTAATGTGGCTATTATTTTGGGCAAGTTCTGGTTAATTAAGAATTCTAACTGCTAAGCTGGTTGAGATTTCACTGTAGTTAGATTGTGCTTAATACAAGTTTGTGTCTGTCGTTAATTATGTAAATCCTTTTCTATGAAATGGAAAACAGCTAATTACCATTTTAATCTAATAGATTCTTGATACGCAGATATTTGTGCACATTTGGAATAGATATGTTTCAGAAAAGCTGATTATAAAGCCAAATTTTATATTATCAGGCTCAATTTTCCTATTCATTTTCATTTTAAAATATAATTTGGGTTCCAATGGAGTGCCAGGGGTGTCGCGTGTTCACTGGGCCATGGTCCCTGTTGCCCTGCGAGATTGATGTAGAAATTTTGAGTTTAGAGAACCAGAGTTTTAAAGTCCCATAACTTTGCATCTTTGGGTAATAGATACTGAATTTTTCTGCTCAGTTAAATGTGTAAGAGGAAAGTTCAGTCTGTCATTTTGTTTTAAGAGCAAATATCCTATCATTATGGGGTTTATATACTCCTTTAAAGCTTCTCTTTTTTTTTAAAGAGAATAATTATGATTTATTTAGAATCTCCTGGAGTAGGCTTAATATAATGGAATACCTTTAAAATACATATATTGCTCTAGTGAACCTTAATAACATACTGATTTTAAAAGAAATCTACCTTTAACAGATTGTGTTGTCTCAAATTTTCTAGATTTTTTTGAGATAAATATACAACAAATGATTTTTCATTCATATTTCTGCTTCGTTATAGAGAGCCAGGTAGGGCCTTACTATAATACTCAAGCAAATATAAAGTCACTTTGAAGTGTTTTTATATTCTAAGTAGTTAATATAGATCGAATAACTGAAGTGCTCAAGAATTTTGTGTAAGGTTTTTTGTTTGTAAATAGAGAAGATTTCAGCTTACCACTGTAATAGCATCAACCACAGCTCTCATTAGATTTTGGATGTTCCTTTTTTGAATTTGAGGAAAACTGGGTGGAGTTACAGCTAGCACTTAGGGGGGTCTGTGGCCAATGTGGATCTGCTCTGTCATGTGCCTATTATTGAAGAAAGAAAGAGAACCACTGGATTAAAAGTAGAGGGGAAAATTATTTCTTTCGATTTGAATCATTTTCTCATTTTGAACATTGGTATTTATACTTTGTCCCATTCTGCACTGGGAACTTTAAAACTTGAGAATAGAGGTTTTTACCCCATTTCTTCGTTTAACTGTTCATCTTGTAGTATCTTTTCTTAAGTATGGTTTTTCTGACAGCTACAGTGTTGCCCTCTTCTTAGTTTTTATTTTACCAAGTCATTGCTCAAGTGGTTTTCAAAAGGATGGAGTATTTTTCTCTCTTCATGTGACTGTCCTGTGTGAAAAAAACGTTTTCCATATTAATTGAAATTAGCTTCATTTTCTAGAGAAGAAACTATAATGTAACACTTTATTTATTTATTTATTTATGAGACAGAGTATCACTATGTCACTCAAACTGCAGTGCAGTGGCGTGATCTCGGCTCACTGCAACCTCCGCTTCCCCGATTTAAGCGATTCTCCTGCCTCAGCCTCCTGAGTAGCTGGGATTACAGGCACCTGCCACCATGCCCGGCTAATTTTTGTATTTTTAGTAGAGACGGGGTTTCACCATGTTGGGCCCACTGGCCTCGAACTCCTGACCTCAAGTGATCTACCCACCTCTGCCTCCCAAAGTGCTAGGATTACAGGTGTGAGCCACTGTGCCCGGCCCTGAAAAATGTATCTTTAATAATGTTTCTGTGATCAAAATAAAATAGTTTTTTAAACAATAACCAGAAAGCATACTACGTTTCTGTATGATGATCCAATAAGGAGAGAGAAGGGAAAAATGAAAAGGGCCTTAAAGTATTATGCTAGCTCACTAATACCACCCTCCCAAAACGCACACACCTTTTTGAAGGCAGTATCGCCATCTAGTGGCTTTTCAGAAAATTGTTATTGAAAGCAAAACTTAAATTTTCCCAAAGTTGAAGGTATTAATGAGAGAGGAAGGCAGTATTACCGTATTTTATTCTTTTGTGTTTTATGTTCCTTTTAAAACATTGACTGCATTCATGGCAAGTGCTTGGTTGATTCTGATCTGGGAGAAGGTGATCCTCATCTGGAGGATCCTCCTCATATGGATAAGC